ACAGCATGTCTGGTGTTTTCTTCTGGTCCTCGTCCTTTAGAAACTACAAAACACAGACCACATGTAAAGCAAAACAATGTTCAGCTGCTCATGTGTTTTGCCACAAATGGGCAAAATATACTACGACCGCACTCAATGTTTGATCACCATAAACTTAATTTACGCCATGTACTCCACAGCACGAATTTGCCACGCTCACAATCAACAACAACAACACCTTTAACCGCATCACTTCCAATGTGTGGTACATTCCCTTTTTTCGTAACGAATCTGTCAATAAAAATTAGTTTCAGAACTGGTTAGTGTTTTGCGTCTTATTTTATTTTTTTTCTAAAATGTAGATTTGTTTCGTCTTTAGTAAAATTGTTTTTCCTATGTAATTGTGTCTTATGATCGGTAAAAATGTTTTTTTTCAAAATGTAAATTCGGCTTCATAAAAGTGTTTCACACTTCCTGACTATTGTACTAATTAGTTATAGATAGGACATTGGAAAATTGTCAGACATGTTTTAATAATGACATTTATCACCATAAAAAAATCTTGGCCTTAAACTTGACCTTTTACCCCTGTTTTGAAGTTACTGTCCTCTGCCTTGTTGTACTGCATGTAAAAAGTTAGAAGTCAGGCCAAGGCAAAAAGCAGTAACTTCCACATGATTATTATTGCTGCTCAACATTTACAAAAAAACAGCAACACATGTAGTATCTAATAATCACGCTATTTATTGTTGATGATTGGCAGCTACTTACAGCCATCTACTTATTGATATGCTGTACATAGGTTGCATTTGCAAATTACTTTCTAAAATATAGTACATTATATATATTTAGGTTCCATATTTTGAAAGTAATTGTTTACAGTATTACAATATTTTTGTCTCTGTATTGTAAAATATTACACTACTTTATTTATTTCAAGTTAATTTTCGATATCATAGGTGCGTGTATGGTCTAGTTATCTAGACTGTAAATAAGCGGTTCCTAACCTTTAAAAGTAGCATACTACTTAGCATCATTTTGCATTCTCTCTCCATTTAGACTGCAGTCCTTTTTCCCATTAAGACACAATATTTGCAATTGATTGACACCCGCGTGTTAACATGTCTCCGTAGTAACGCATATAATCATATTAACAAGTCATGACATGAGCAAAGCAACCTGGATTAAAAGACTTGTTCGGCTTGTTGTGATCAATCATCATCAAATGTGATCAAGAATGAGTTTTACAAGTTTAAAATGTTTTGAAAACAGTGCATGTTCATAATCAACAGGCGATTTTATCGTCTTTATCACCACAGCCGCATGTCAGTACAATTATAAAAGAAGATGCTTTAATCCCGGTTTGTGGACGTTAAATCTGGTTTATTTTGTACATTAACATAACGGATATCCATGTTTTGCGCTGATACCTTACATACAGACACATTCTGGAGATACAAAAGACTCATCTTAAATCTTTAAAAAGGGGTAAAATAGGTGCTCTTAAAGTAATAGTAGCAAGTAACGTTGTAATAGTTCCAATTTACAAAGTTTACTCACTTTTTTGTTTCAAGTCAAGTCAACTTGTCACTTATAAAGGCAATGAGTTTATTTTTTTCACCTTTACTAAAACCTCAAAGTTGGAACGCCATAAAAGCAAATAAATCACCAAAACTATGACATTCATTTGTGCCACATTTAGCAGGTTTGGTGTGTGAGATATTAAACAGTAATGCTTGATAGTGTGATGTGACGTCACTCTCCACCCCATCTTGCTCAAAATGCTCAAAAACAGCACAATTCGTTAGTGCTGTTAAAACAAATGCTTTATCTACTTAGTGTACCTTGTTTAAATATAACAAAACTAATTCGGAAGCCAAGACATCACTCGCAGTATGCCTATCAAATGCAGGCCCGGATTGGCTAATCAGCAGGACCAGGTGAATTCGGGGCCAGTGTCTGCCTACACTCACAGCAGGTGTACTTTTTATTCACTTATCTTTTTTTTTTTCTTCTATTACCTAACTTTTTTTATTCATTATAAAAGCTCTAGAAACTGATGAGGGCAAATGTACTAAGCGGAGTACATTATTTTGTTAAAGCCAGTAGCAGCGAGAGTACAACACATGAAGACGATGAAACAGCCGGTAAATTAACATTAAGCTAGTTAGGAGCAGTGCAAAACAACGTCTGCACACTATGATTTATGTATCAATTTTTCTTTTTTTTTTTTTTTGTACAGTTGCTCTTTAGCAGCAGTCCAGTCTAATCCAGTTTGCTGCAGTGAAGAGCCAGGCCCCAAAACGTTACCTAGCACCAGTCATTAGGGTCACGAAACACCAAAACTCATTTTTTGAGCTGTTGACAGTCGTATACGTGTCCCACACTGCTAAAAACACTATTAGGACACGTATATCTCACTAAAAAGTGAAAATTGATTGTTTTTGCATTATTTCGCAAATTTGTACTTCCGGATTGAAACAAATTTTTGAAGCTGCGTCACAGCCATGAGATAATAGCGTGTATTCCAGCGTGTGCACTGTACATCTGTACCAAGGCGTCCCGTATTATGTCTCTGAGTGCGTTGCATTCATTCATGAGTATGGCTTGGTTCAAACCATCAGCACTCTATTATGAATGCGCTGCAACTTCATTAATATGCATGCTAGCTTTCTTAGACTGTGGCAGAAATGCGTTTGTTTGGAACATTTTTTACTCGAGAGCATTTCTCATCTATGGTGAGATAGGGATTAGCTGCTCGTCAACTTTATAAAAGATGCAGCTCCAATATGTGATGATTATCCTGTCTACAGATTCGGTAAGTGTATGCGATCAGCGCCCTTTCTTTGTTCATTCAGATGGCAAAGTTATAGTTCGTATAGTCAGCTGTACGCTTTCAGTGTTTACAGACAGACCTTAGTCAAAATGATTTCTAAGTTACTTAGTTTACAGTACGTTAATATCACTACAATATTAAAAGATCTGTAAATGGTGCTCTCTGCGTGTAAACACGTGAACACTAAACAAACTTTTGCCGACCGTTGTGTTGAATTTTCGCCACATTTTGTGACAGGATAGTCTACACACACGGCTTTCTGACCTCCTGAGTGCATCTGAGTTACAGAGAAATGCAGAGGCTTTTTTTTCTCTTATACGACGTGCGGTATCAAACATTCCACCGCCATTAAACACACTGTCTCCCCTGCGTGTGTGTTTGTTTGTACTCGGTCAGAAGCATGTGCCCAAATGGCAACTCCCATTTTTATTCAAACCCTGCCCATTTTATTCAAACCCTGCCCATTTTTCCTCCCCCGACACTCCCACCCAAACAAAACTAGACACCCCCACTTTCCTAACTTTTTTTAAACTAGAGGTGTGAAAACATCCTGCTGAAACGAGGGGTTTCATGGCCCTTTAAACCAACACACTAGAATGGGCAGGTAGGATCGTCATTGAGTGAATATAAGAATTTAAATAATTAACATTAATGAATATTACACCTACTGAATGAAAAATCCCCTGAGACAATTAATGAAATCAGATTATTCACTACACTAATAAATCTGACTTAAGTTGATCAGGAAGCTAAAAAGGGGAAAAAGATGAAGCCAACATTAGAAAGTAATAATGTGGTTAAAAATATCGGGTAGACAACAGTGCAATAGTAGTTTTATTCTTTTTTTGTGTTTAAGGACTAGATATCTGTGAACAATTATGCACAGAACATATATTCAGATATTGCAGAAAAGGACATTGTGATGTTTTAATGAGTCATGTTGGAGATTTAGCTACCCTTTAATGTTCTCATATTTATGTAATATAGTTTATACATAAATATTTGAAGATATAAAGCAGTGGTTTCCTTAAAAAATAATTATAATAGTGTAATTAGAAAATTCAATACATTCAAATTGAATCTTTATTTTATACATATTGCTTTTTAAAAATGTTTTTATTATCTTAAACAACAAATGTGCAATAAAAATGATACTGTAGATTTTGTTAATCATTTCTTTACATAGAGCTGCAAATTTTGAGAGGTCTTTTACCTGTGTAGCAATGTATTACTATTCCAAATACATTTTTATTATAATTACAGTCGGAAACTTAATAATCTTTACCTATTGTTCTAATATGCAAGTGTATACAATTTTACTATTATTTTAACTCATACAATGCATTACGTGGCTATTAACAATGATAATAGATAAGAGTTATTAAATATGGCTACACAAACATGGCTACACATGCAACAGCATGCAAGCAAAAAAGTAGCACCTTTCTAGGTGGCTGAGGAAAGGAGTGACATCTCTTCAGGAAACTGTGGTTAGATCTTCAGTGCAGTCTGTTGAAAAGTAGAAAATGTTTGCCATGCAAGGCTAAACATATACGACTAGACTACCACTAGATCTTTTATAACATACAGTACAGTATGTTATCATTCAAAAATTATTTATTTATTTTTGCAACGTTCTATTACAATTTCTAGTGTTGAAAAAAAAATTAAAACTAAATGTGTCATGGCTTCCACAAAAACATTAAGCAGCTCAAATGTTTCCAAAATACATTATCACATAACTTTCTAATAAAAAACTGCACACAAAGTAGCATCTTGCTGCAAGATGAACTACAAGCTGAATGTAACAAAGCCACCTTGACAAAAACAAACTAAATATTACATCATTATTCAAACAAGAAGCATGATATCTAGTATTTTATGGAGCTAATCATATTTAACTACTTATGCAAATGCTTTAGAAATGATAACTGAGGGCAACCTCAAACAGTCCAGGTTATCTTAAGCTGCTAAAACATTCAGCACTGAATATTATCAAGAATGTTTCCATATATTTGGTCCCCCAAATGGCATTAGGGAAAAAGAAAAAAAGATAATTTCCTAAGAGCACCGACACTCATGCACATCGCTATTCTGTACTGTGTGCTCTGTGCATTCTGAAACATGTATGAATCAGTTGGGTAACCACAATATCAGTTGGGTAATTTAAAAAATTTGTCATTACCTCAATCCACCTTTGAGCCTCCTGGAATGCAAGCTCACAGCTGACTGAAGACTGCTGACGCCACTCCATCGCCACTCCAATCACACCTGAGAACAGTTCAAAAGAAAAAAAAATATGAGCATGAATCCATTTAGATATACATTTTAATACCTAAACACAAATATATGACTAAATTGCTAATACAATTAACATTAAATTATATTTAATTATATATATATATATATATATATATATATATATATATATATATATATATATATATATATTAATTAGGGGCAGCACGGTGGCACGCCTCACAGCAAGAGGGTCACTGGTTCGAGCCAGTTAGTGTTTCTGTGTGGAGTTTGCATGTTCTTCCCATGCTTCCTGTGCTTCCGGGTGCTCCGGTTTCCCCCAGAGTCCGAAGACATGCAGGTGTAGGTGAATTGAATAAACTAAATAGGTCGAGTGAATATAAGAGTGTATAGGTGTTTTCGAGTGTTGGGTTGTGGCTGGAAGGGCATCCCCTGTGTAAAACATTTGCTGGTTGTGGTTCATACCACTGTGGCAACTCCTGATTAATAAAAGCTGAAAAGAAAATGAATGAATAAATGTTAATTAGGGCTGTACGATATAGGTAAAAAAAAGAAACTTACATTGCGATATTTTTATTGCGATATTTCAACAAATATCTTGAACAGCTCTATTTAGAAATAAATAACATTTTTTTATTGATTGGAATGATTTTGTGATTTTGCCAAAAATATAATAACTAATTACCAGAACAGATAACTAAAGTAAAGCAACAATATAAATTTTAAAGTCTAACAATATTCTGCAACAGAAATAAAGTAATCAAATGTACAACAAAGTTCTATAGTCTTAATTTTACAAATAATTAAATTAATATTTGTTAAAATTACAAAATGTAATAATTCTTTGTTGCCAAGTGCTTTAAACTCACGAACACAAAATGCGTACACAGTCACAAGCCTTAAAACCAACTAGGGCTGGACGGTATATCGAGTTCTGGGGATATATCGATATGACTCCCCAACTCGATACGGGATTATCCAATATCTTTCATATCAATATGGTTTGAGGCCACACGTGCGCATTCTGCGAGAAACAGAATCTAAGGTACCACGCGAGCTTCACTTGCACAAATGAGCGCATGTACAAATTTACACCCGGAGTCATACAAAAGATTTGTTCAATTTGAACGAATAGTTCAAGAACAACCCATCACGTCATGGAGGAACATGCAGTGCCGATTTTGTATCGAAATTTGACTCCCCGGACAAATTTAACTCCCCTCTCTTCCGCAATTGACAGCAAAAACAAACATAGAAGTCTTGTCAAATTGACAAGCACCTGAATGTGTTAATTAAAAACCTCAAATGGGATGAATTTATACCACATTTTGAAAGTGAAACCACCACATATTCACTAGTTATAAGTTTAGTATTCATTACAGGACGGTCTCTACGTTTACGTTATATCACATTTAGCTCTGCGTTCTGGTCTGTTATTGCATATTGACTTCAATTCAGATTAGATTCTAATCATTGTATTTATTTATTTATTCTGTTTAATTGATTTATTTACTTTAGCCCCTTAATTGGAAGACGTGATTTGATATGTGTGTGTGCCTAGTGTACAAACGGTTAGTGGTTTAAACGATTATTAAAACTTAAAAATAGTAAAATAAAACGTATGCATTTGTCTACCAAACATTTCCTTTTTCTATTTTAATATCTCGCTGTTAGCTACTCTTTCAACAAAACACAATATAAGAATGATTATTCTAATGATGATAATAACAGAGAGGGAAACTCCTGTGTTTGAATTATATTTTGCTCAAAAAATGTTTAAGTTTTAAAAAAAGGCTTTGACTCTCAAGTAACCATCTATGGCAAAATGCCGTATTGTATATCGACATTCCTCCAAAAAAATACCAATATATGCAACTAAATCCTGACTCCACATTGCATATCCTGTGATGTGACTATTGCAGATTCACACTTTGCAATATGGATGCTAAAACGATATATTGCTCAACCCAAATGTTAAAATTAGTATTATACTTCATATATGAAAATAAATAATGGCCATGGATTGTTATTCAAGTTTAAAGTTTATTACAAAGGACACTGCTTGTGAAGCATAGAAACAACCAGTTGTTGTTGTTTTTTTACTTTAAACAAATAAATATAAAAGCACTGTAGCTCTAGACCACCTTTATCAAAAAAGCTTTTTTATACATTTAAAAATAATAATACTAAATAAAATTAATCAGATTGACAGGTGACAGTATGTATTGCTTTTGCATTCCACTGCTGGCCGACAAAAAAAAAAAAAAAGAAAAAAGAAAAAGATGTCACAACATTATGAACATGTTTAAAGAAAAGCGTAGAAAAAAATAACCAAAATGATTTACTAATGTTTGTACAGCACACCTAGCTGTATTGCTGTAGTAAAGTACACCTTTTTTACATTAAGGAAAAAATCCAGACATTATGATTTAGTAATGGGACCCCTTTATATTAATTTCAAATAACAACGGTTGCACATATAATTTTATCTTGTTTAGCATAAAGTGACGTCCACTGTAATAAACAGGATTAAAGAAAAGGTGGTTTTATATTCGCATAAACGTTCAGTGATAATTTGACATTTTTACCATGGCATTCGGTGGGAAATTGTGTGAATATAGAACCAACTTTACCTCAATATGAAAAGGTTAACAGGAACTTCCATCACCTTCATGTTTGCCACCTTAAAAGATGGTGATTCAGAACCCCGCACACCTGTGCCACCACACAAGAAAACACAAATGCAACAAGTCTAAACTTACCTGCAAGCCCTTCTTTCAATTACGTGTATTTGCTTCCCGCGGCTACTTCACTTCCCAGATGTCTCGAGGCGAAAGCGCAAGGTGTTTCCCGCTACCAGTGCGCGTCTCCAACTTTCTTCAACTTTTGCAAACACTCCTTTTCAAATGCACAGCATGAACACCTTGCAGGATTCCTCAAGTCAGCCGCCACCTTTCACCAAACTACTCGTAAGCAGGAACTGAAACATCCATGTTCAGTGATGAGACAAACGGAAAACGCGGAGAACAGCTGCTGCGTTTGCAGAGACAAGTGCATAGGTAGAGAAGATGATGATGAGTTGTTTAAATATATGCCACGCCCCCTGCTGCTATATAAAAAGTGTCGGAGAGGATTCGCGGGCTTTAGCCACATTGACCAGCAGATGGAGACAAATATCACTTCAAAAACGTTGCTGTTTGTTAACTGTCCAAGTCAGGTAAGACATTTTTCACTAGTCATATCTGTCGTTAGTTCACCCAAAAATGAAAATTATGTTATCATTTTCTACACTTGGACCAAGCCTACATGAGTTTCTTTCTGAAGAACAAAAACTAACATATTTTGAAGAATATTGGTAAGCAAATTGTTTTTCTTCCTTTAACCTGCAATGGAAGTCAGTGTGGACCATCCTCTTTTTGCTTTTTTGTTGGGTACCAGCATTCATCAAAACATGTTTTATGGTTAACAAAAAGAAACTCGTACAAGTTTTGTACTAGAGAGTGGGTAATACATGTTTATTTTTATTATTAAAAAAAAAAAAAAAACTTAACCATACCCTAACTAAAATATTAAGCCTATATGCCTATTTTTATTGTAATATTGTGTGATAATTTTGCTAACCCAGTTAAGGGTATTTGGCTAATAATTTTTCTTAAACTCTCAGAAAGAATTTTCTTTTGTGCTGTGATGTTAAGGGGACCAAAAATGACTAAGCCAAACATGCAATACATTGCTATTATAATAAAATCATAATGAGTTTTAGATATGATTTTAATTAAAATGCTGTTTCATGATTAGCATAGCCTAGCTGAGGAAAAAAGAGCATTAGCATAGGCTACCTGTTAAGTTTGAATATTGACTGTGGTTTGGTCAGGCTAGTGCTTTTCACAGATGGGTCTGGTGCATAAAGCTATCAGACAACAACCGCAATATCATCAAACAAAACAATCAGACAACAGAAGTTAGCTTTGCTGCGCAGTAGCTATTAACCCTCTGCTCTGACTCGCTTCATTTTGCATGCACACTTGGCTTCTTGACAGTAAAGGAAATGAATGAAGTATGCAATGTACATTTTTGCTATTATTAATTTTTAGGTGATTTCATTGTATTATGCAATACTAAAATTTGTATGATTTGCATTTTTTTCCCATTAGAATATATATATATATTTATATATATATATATATATATATATATATATATATATATATATATATATATATATATATATATATATATATATATATATATACATATACAGTTGAAGTCAGAAATATTAGCCCCCCTGAATTACTGAATTATTAACCCCCGTTTGATTTTTTTCCCCAATTTCTGTTTAACAGAAAGAGAAATTTTTATCACATTTCTAAACATAGTAGTTTTAATAACTCATTTCTAATAACTTGCCATGATGACAGTAAATAATATTTGACTAGATATTTTTCAAGACTCTTCTGTACAGCTTAAAGTGACATTTAAATGCTTAACTAGGTTAATTAGGTTAACTAGGCAGGTTAGGGTTATTTGGGAAGTTATTGTGTAATGATGGTTTGTTCTGTAGACTATCGAGAAAAAAATACATAGCTTAAAGGGGCTAATCATTTTGACCTTAAAATGGCTTTTAAAAAAATTAAAACTGCTTTTGTTCTAGCTGAAATAAAACAAATAAGACTTTGACCAGAAGCAAAAATATTATCTGACATACTGTGAAAGTTTCCTTGCTCTGTTAAACATCATTTGGGAAATAAAAAAAATTTAAAGGGGGCTAATAATTCTGACTTCAACTGTACAAGTTGGCGGTTCATTCAACTGTGGCGACCCCATATTAATAAAGGGACTAAGCCGGAAAGAAAATGAATGAATGAATCAGGGCAGGATTATATGCTAAGTGCAACTATTATTATTTTTTAAATATTCATGCAACGATGACCATGTTATTTTACAGTTGATTGTTCAACTTCTGTACTTGAATAGTGTTCGACTCTCCAGAAAACCATAAAGCAGTGTTTATTTATTTATTTTTGCATGTAATTTATTATTTCTTATAATTTATGCTGATGCACTGCATTGACAATTACTTGATCATCCCAGTCAATCTATATTAATGAAATCTTTCTAAATAGAGATATTCAAATCGTCAGGTGAAAATATATTAATATATATATATATATATATATATATATATATATATATATATATATATATATATATATATATATATATATATATATATATATATATATATATATATATAATTGATATTAATTCTGACATTTGAAGTCAGAATTAATAGCCCCCCCAGGAAATTTTCACAGTATGTCTGATTGTATTTTTTCTTCTGGAGAAAGTCCTATTTGTTTTATTTTGGCAAGAATAAAAACAGTTTTTAATTTTTTAAACAGTTTTCAGCCCCTTTAAGATTTTTTTTTTTTTTCCGATAGTTTACAGAACAAACCATCATTACACAATAACTTGCCTAATTACCCTATCCTGCCTAGTCAACCTAATTAACCTAGTTAGGCATTTAAATGTCACTTTAATCTGTATAGAAGAGTCTTGAAAAATATCTAGTCAAATATTATTTACTGTCATCATGACAAAGATAAAATAAATCAGTTATTAGAAATGAGTTAGTAAAACTGTTATGCTTAGAAATGTGTTAAAACAATCTTCCCTCTTTTAAACATAAATTAGGGAAAAAATAAACTAGGGTGCTAATAATTCAGGGGGGCTAATATATATATATATATATATATATATATATATATATATATATATATATATATATATATATATATATATATATATATATATATATGGCATACACTGTCTGTCTGTCTGTCTGTCTGTCTGTCTGTCTGTCTGTCTGTCTGTCTGTGAGTTCGAATAATCAGTTCATAATGATGCCTGTCAAACTACAGAATGTACTAAAGTCTGGCACTATATTCCACTATATTGGCAAAATATATAAGATACTGGTGAAGGATGAAAAAAGCTTTCTAAACCAAGTACCACTTTACACTGTGTAAAACAGGTATCTCATTTTATTTATTTATTTTTGTTTGTTTGTTTTATATTGCTATTATATTATTGAAACTATTTAACACACTTGTCAGCAACAAGTTTCTAAGCATTTTATAGCATATTTATATAATTTAAATGTATTTTGATCACAATTTTATTTACAAGTGGGTCTGAATGACTGTAACATTCTTTCATCCATATTGTAACATTTTATTTAATATAAAATATATTTGATATTTTGGTTATTTGAAACATTCAAGTAGACAATTTACTTGTATTTATTTAGCTTTCCATGTAGATAAAATTTATTTTGTACATTTTCATTTAATAAAACCAAAACGGGACATCAAAGACCCACATATTTATATATTTTCTGTTATTTGAACACAATCTTTAAGGAATATTGAAGAAAATATAACCCAAATGTAGTGAAAGTGCAATTGCTCTATTTTTCAGCAGTCAACAAGACAGTAACTAACACAGAGATGCTTTCAACAGCTGGAACTAAAACAGGAAGTGCTTCATCCAGCGACAGGAAGTCCTAACCAAAGCTGGAGCAATGTACAAGTCTGTCTGCCCACTGGTTTCCTGTGTGACTAGTCTGCTGTGAGACAAACTAACACTTTATCACACTATTGTTGTCATCTGATGAGCCTAAAGACAGCAGTTTAGGTTTCAAAGCATGTTTGCACAGGATGTTGGTGAGTGGTGTCCTTTGCTGTTAATTTGTAAGCTTTGAGGGTGTTGCTTCAGTGATGAGGAAATGCAAAATGCTCAGATCTATTTAAATGGACTTTGCTGACTAATAAATGGGTTGTACTTTAAATAAATCAAAATTACCTGAAGTGTGCTCTCGTGAAAATAAATTTACTTAATCTTGTTTTTCAGGATTTTTTTTTTTCAGTGTAATATATTATTATATAACACACTATATCTAAATGCAGGGCCGTAGCCAGCCTGGTGATAGAGGTGGATTTTAAAGTGGACCTTTTTGCAGTTATATGCTTCATTTCCTATTTAATTATGAGGGTTAAATATTGCATTTTAGTGACATTTTAAGCACTTTTTTTAGCTGAGTTAGCTTGTCAGATGGTCATCATAGTCAAATTTCATTGAATTTCAAATTGTCATTAGGCAAATCTTTTGGCTGTTTAAATAAAAAAAAATATAGCATAATAATAATAATAATGATAATAATAATAATAATAATAATAATAATAATAATAATAATATAATGTAGAGCTTCACAATTTTCTAGCCTCTCTTGTTAAAAAAAAAAAGTATATTTGAGAATTCATGGATAACAATACTCAAATTAGTATTCAAATTCATTAAAATATGGTCTCTTTTGGTGCTTTACACCTTTTTATTTTTCATATTTTGTTTCAAAAACAACAAGGTCCAAGATTTAGAATAAAAGTTACTTGTAAAATGTTTTCTTTATTTAAAAAAATTCAATACAGCGAATAATGACATATCTTACATCAGATTGTGTTTTCTTGCAGAGCTGGATGCTGGACTCATGAAAAATATGTGTTAGCATTGGCCAAAACTAATTAGCTGAAGTTACACCAAAGCAACATCCAACAGAGGATTCTGCTTTGTCTTAAATCCTTTTTGATGGGTTACTTTCACTATTTATGATGGTTTAGCAGTCAAAATAGGACAAATGAGCTCATTCATTCATTTTCTTTTCAGCCCTTCCGGCTGCAACCCATCACTGGGAAACATTCAAACACACCCATTCACACACAGTTTCGTACAAAAAAATTGTAAAATTGTACACTACGGACAATTTTAGCTTACCCAATTCACCTATACCGCATGTCTTTGGACTTGTAAGGGAAAACTGAGCACCTGGAGAAAACACACACGAACACGGGAAAAACATGCAAATTCCACAAAGAAATGCCGACTGACCCAGCGGGTGCTTGAACCAGCGACCTTCTTGTTGTGAGGCGAACGTGCTACCCACCCCAAAAAAAAAAAAACCTACGCACACTGACTCATCCACCCCACACCCCAGCAACCGG